AGTAACAGTTTTTCTCCCTAAGTAAGATGCTGGCCAATTGTTTTGTTATGTCAGTCAATCGTTCCATATGACTTGATGAAATTAGGTAACCCCCTGCTATTGGACCAATCTCTTGATTCGAATTATCAAGTCATTTGAGGAAATATACAAATAAAATATGCAAATTATCATCCTTGCTGTGTAGCTTCTTTGAAACAGAAAAGTTTCACCATTTACAATATTCTTCAGCATCATGAGTATTTTTGAGACCAGAATGTCATTTTATCTCAAGTACTAATAGAGTTCACTTTGTTTTTTCCCTCTCAACTATACCGTTCTTTAAACCATTGAAGTTTTTGAAATGCAGTCTGCTCCACAAGTGGTCCACGAATTATTTTGAGGGTGACTTTAGGAAAAATTCTAATATTTGCTTCAAATTCCCATTGAGTTTGATCTGATAAATTCAAATATTATTATTCACTTCTTCATTATTCGTTTCGGTTGCGTTTTTGAATATTATATAATAGTTCTAATACACTTCTGAAACTTTCTATAAGCTGCTGGCTTCAGTTATCTCAAAATTTCGACATTGCATGACACACGAGACTATACATCGAACGTAAGAAGTTTTATGTCTCATTGCCTGTTATGAAAAAAGCGTCACTGACCCCTATGTTTGGATTTTTTCATACAATGTATTTTTTAGCCTTTCCTTCAGTCTGTTTTTTTCAATTCTTTTAAAATGCTTGTAAACATCTTGCAGTTACTTGATTCACTACGAGTGGTGTTTGACTAGTAGTGATTTAAGAGGAAGGTTATTGTGTGAATTGATTGAAATATGGAATAAATCGTTTAAGAAATCGTAGCAGTGGTGCTACAACTTTTAACTTATGAGAAAATAAATCACTATATATTATAGGCCTGTACAAAAAAGTTTACAATGACATATGTCTATCTATCGAGGCTAGCTTCCAAACCCATTCAATGTTTTGAATATTGGTTCTTAGTAATTGGAAGCTATTCAGACAGATACGGTATTAGTCTTCATCAAATACGAGTAAATAATTGATTACCCTGAGCATATTATGCATCTTGTGATTGATATTAAAAATATACAATTCAAATTATTCATCGCAAATTCAAATTTTTTTTTTGTTTTAATTTCAAGATAAGCGCATCAACCACTAGGGTTATTAGCGCTACGTTACATTTCACATTACATGATTATTGTGTTCAAAATAAATGATACATATTGATATTTGTCAAGAATAACATGAGATTTTCAATATAACAAGTGTCACTGAGAGTTTCTCGTAGTTCTTTCAGTATTCCGAATTCTATTCTTGCTTCCTGATACTTGGGACAAATTTGAAGAACGTGTTTCACAGTTACTGCTTTATCACATATATCACAGATATAATTGGTTCCTCGCGTGATAAAAGAAAATCGTGCGAAAATTTGGTATGTCCAATACGAAGTCGACAGAGGATTACCTGATGTTTTCTGGATTTTGGTGGGTTTAACGGATGGCTTTATTTGGTTTAGTTTCGAATTCGTCTGGAGCCATTCCCTCTGCCACTCGTTTATTATCATATTTTCGATGTATCTTTTCATATCAGACGGAGTTATTTTGGTGATTATTCTTGAACTGTGATCGTCTATCGCTTCTTAGGCTGCAATATCTGCCTTTTCATTACCAGCGATTCCAATATGCGATGAGGCCCATAATAATATTACTCGTTTCCCTAACTCTTCGATTCTATATAGTTCATTTTTTATTAGTAATATTATGGGATTGTCTGTATATAACTGTTGCGTACCCTTAATAGCACCCAAAGAGTCTGTTACAATCAGAAATTATCAGCAGGATGATTTTTCAGAAATAATAATGCTTGTAGTATCGCGAATAGTTCAGCTGTGAATATACATGTGGCTTGGGGAAGTTTGTATTTTACTGTTTCGTCCGGCGATACAACAGCTGACCCAACTCCATTATCTGTTTTTGAAGCATCGGTGTACAGAATTGCATGGTTCTCATAAAGAGTTAGTTTTTGTTTGAATAAGTTCAGTAGAATTTGGGGAAATGTATCATTTTTTGTGAAACAGGATAAAGAGGAGTCACATATAGGGTGATTGATCATCCAAGAAGGAGTAGTAGTTATGGAGTTGGAAAATAATGGGGGAAGTGTATACCCTAATTGTTCTGAATATTTGTTTATCCTTTCGTAAAAAGGAGGGTCCATTCTTGGATGTCCCATGAAATTTTGTTTGAAATGACTTGACAAAACATTATTATATGTACAATATTGTTGCAATAGAAGTAGCATAAGAGAGACTCATATATTGTCTACGGTACCTTAGTTGGATTTAATTTGCTTCGCATGATAAGCTTTCGATGAGCTCCTAATGCTATTCGAAGTGCTGTACTTTGAACAACTTCTTGTTTTCGGATTGTCGACTTTTTTGCAGAAGCATATGCTATTGATCCATAGTCGATTCTGGATCTGATAAGGGATCTCTAGAGTCGAATAAGTGTAGTTGTGTCGGCACCCCATGTTGTATTGGATAGAATCCTCAGTAAATTCAAACCTCCTTGGCACTTTCTGATGAGATGACCTAATTGTTCTGAATATTTGTTTATCCTTTCGTAAAAAGGAGGGTCCGTTCTTGGATGTCCCGTGAAATTTTGTTTGAAATGACTTGACAAAACATTATTATATGTACAATGTGTTGCTTTGGTTGCAATAGAAGTAGCATGAGAGAGACTCATATATTGTCTACGGTACCTTAGTGGGATTTAATTTGCTTCGCATGATAAGCTTTCGATTGGGCTTGTTCGATGAGCTCCTAATGCTATTCGAAGTGCTGTACTTTGAACAACTTCCAATTTTCGGATTGTCGACTTTTTTCCAGAAGCATATGCTATTGATCCATAGTCGATTCTGGATATAAGGGATCTGTAGAGTCGAATAAGTGTAGTTGTGTCGGCACCCCATGTTGTATTGGATAGAATCCTCAGTAAATTCAAACCTCCTTGGCACTTTCTGATGAGATGGTGTATGTGTGATTTTCAGTTTAATTTTTGATCGAAAATCATTTCAAGAAATGTAATTTCGTCAACATATTCCAGATTTTTGCCATAGAGTTGTCAGAGTTGCAGTGTTGGTCGGTTTCTGATGTGTGTTTTCGAAAAGAGTATTAATCTTGTTTTTATCTGAAGAGAAAGTGAGTCATGTTGATTTAGACTAGAGTTCTAGCTGTTCTAGGTGATGCTGGAGTATTGAACTCATTGTTTCAATATTCTTTCCTTTGATAATTAGAAGTAGGTCATCAGCGTAAAGTCGTGCTTTCACTAGTAGTTCGACATGTTCTATTATTTGGTTGATTGCTATAAGAAATGATGTTACGCTAATAATAGAACCCTGTGGTGTACCATTTTCTTGGGTTTTGAGATTCGATAGTTCTCCATTGACTCTAACTCGAAAGAACCTATTTTCAATAAAATTTTTGACGAATGCTAACATATTACCTTGAATGTTCCATTGTTGTAAAGTTTTCAAAATATAATAACTCCAAGCCTTGTCATTAGCTTTCTCTAAGTCGAAAAATATTGCTATACATTTTTGTTTGTTTGAGAATACCTCATGTATTTCTGACTCTAGGTCTATAATATTGTCTACAGTAGATCTGTACCTACTTTCTGAAGCCGTTTTGTTTCTGTCGAAGTAGGTTACGAGATTCTAAGTACCATACCAGTCTTCTATTCACGATTGTTTCCATTAATTTACAGAGGCTATCAGTTAGAGATATAGGTCTGTATGATTCAGGATTATGTTTAGGTTTGTTTGGTTTTGGGATTGGTATTACAGTGGCTTCTTGCCACTGGTGAGGAAATTTCTGTTGTCTCCATAAGTCATTTATGAATTCGTGAAGATATGCTTTAGCAGATTTAGGTAGTTTTTGTAGAAAAACAACTGTTATGTCGTCCGGCCCAGGAAAAGTGTTTTTAAGGATAATTAGTGCGTCTTCAAATTTATGTTCTGATATATTCGAGTTAATGGGTGTATGGTGTTGGTCTATAATAATGGGGTTTTCTTCTTCTTCCATATCTTTTTTTAGGTTGAAATCATGATCATAGGTCATTCTATTTGGATGATTCTTGAAGTTATTTGCCAGTGTCTCTGCTATATCTCTATTGTCCTTAATTAAATTTCCCTCATGAATATTCAAAACTATTGCGCGAAAAAAGAATCCAAGTGATCTGACAAACCGAGGTGAGACACGTGATGAAGAAAGGTTACGTTGGTTTTGTCTTACGCGGTGAAGCACTTTGAAGATCGAGGTTGCATTATTTTTGTTGTCTTTAGATAAACAGTCTATTCGAAAGTGTAAACTGATACTTTTTGAATGCGATTTATCAATGGTCATTAATAACTCCCTAAACCATCAAACAATGATCTTGGATATCCCAGGACATTCTCAAACATCCTAAACTATTATTAAACCTCACATGATATTCAGGGATGTTTGAAATGTTGTAAAATGATCTCAAATACTTACAAATGTTCTGGACTGTTCTATAAGTTTCTGGAAGGCGAGAATTCTAGCCCTTATATCTTCAAAAGCATTCCCGTAAAAACGGTAATATTTTCCGTGGACGGGAATAGGGAGCTACCAAAACATAATACTCTCTTTAACGTTCCAGATTATTCCCAAACGCTTCACCACATTCCAATATATTCCGGTATTATTTGTATTGTTGTGTAATGTTGAGAACTGCATTCAAACATATTAAAATGTTTTGGACTCTTCTAGAAATTTCTAGAGGGATAAACTTCCAGTTCTTATATCTTCAAAAGCATCCCCTTCAGGAGAAAACGGGAAACTTATTCATAGACGAACTAAGACAGAGCGGAGCAAAATAGTACTATAATTTATCATTATAGTCAAATGGAAAATTTTTTAAACACACCACTGAGCTATGCCCGCAATATGAATATTATCACAAATGATTACATCAGTGTACTAGGTACCATTTTCTCGAACGTCCTCTAAATGTGAGTTCCTTTATCGCTAATAGATTGTTTTAAACAAGAGAAGTACAATTCAATTACACACTGGGGCGGATATAATTAGTTTCATCTGGAGATAGTTCAACGTACAAACAGTTGTATTGAAGCCGCACACAAGGGCTTTGGAACGATATTTGTACAAGGATTTGAAGTCAATCCGATTAGTGTGAGAGGCTTTTCTTCTCCCTTTATAGGTATGTAGTTTGTGTTTTAGTAATATTTCCTGCTATGAGTTTAGCTGAGAGCGGTCCCATACTTTTATATTGATGAGTTAGACCCCTATTTGCTTGAAATAAAATGTTCTTCTTCTTTTTTTATGAGCTATATTTTGACTCAAGGGTGATTTTTTCAATAAAATACCACTTTTTGAGTTATTCGCGAAAAACCATCTGAAAACATCGGTTTATTGGTTGAAAAATCAATACTTCCATTCGTAAATGAGTCCAAAAGTATTGACATTCAGAATAAACTCCATAGAACAAAAGTTGCATAGTCATGAATTCTTAGGAGATATTTCCATTATTTTTCTTCATAAATAAATGTTAACAATAAGTTGGTGATTCATGGTTGAGCTCATCATTAAAACGTCAATATTGTTATCAACGAGCAACAAAAACAACAAATTTATCTTTCAAATTGGGAAAGAAGACCACAATCGAAAATTTTGCCTCAAATGTCCTACAAACAAGCTTTAAAACAGTTGAGATGAGAGTGGGTAGAAAGAAAGAAGAAAGGAGTCAATTAATTCATGAATCGTTTATTGACAAAAGTTAAGGGAAACAGAACATCAGCTAAATATAACTAAAGACGATTACTATTTTAACAAGAAGAGAAAGTAAAGAGAAAGAACCGTAACAAGAAATGTTAGTTCTAACTTCAGGGACCAATTTGCAACAGTTGATTCATTTACAAGGAAAAATGAATGATATAAAAGTTAGGGAATTTCTCACAATGATACTCTCGTTTCATTATTCAACTGATGAATTATATTCCCTCTGGTTTGCATACCATCGGTTAACAGTTGTTCGAAGGTAGCCAATGGAAGGTTTTAAAATTCAACTACATACACACTAAACTAGTACAATTGAAACTTAGTAGAATTACTTTGTAGGTTGATGAAGTGGGTAACGTCATAGTACTGACAGTTTTGCAGTTACTCCTGTGATTCCAATGCTTCTCGATCAGACCCAATTGAACGAAAATAAATAACAAGATTACCTTGATTAAGAAATAAGGCTTACGATCAGCTCTTATGTCGCTTTCAGCAATGGTGAGCCGTCAAGGATTCCAAGAAGCGGAGATTCGCCAAGCGCCTATTCTTAAAGTTGGGGAGATCTTGGTGGTGTTATAAATTAGCGACGATAACATTCCTTTTTACTGGAGATATTGTTCAGTAAAACGGAATTCAAGTGGAAAATGAAGGTCCGTAAATTCATACATGTCTGAACATAATATCTTACAAGCAAGTAGGTCATATCAATAAAAACACAAAATGTTTATTCCTATTTGGGACGAAGTGTGGCCTTTGAGATGTCTGAGCTCTTCAGCAAGTAGACTTCAATTAGTGTAGAATAGTTTAAACAAAAATCTCACAACAGTATATAATTGTCTATTTTCCTTGAGATAAATAAATTTTCGATTTAGGAATTCTTTCAAACATTCTTTCAAATCCGCAATATCGCGATGTTCTTCCCGTGTCTGGTCGAATAACATAAACTGACATAAGATATAGATGAATTATTTGAAAAAAAATTGTATCTTGCAAATAAACTTTTTGAATATGTAAGTTTCATTTCATTGAATTACCTATTGCAGCAAAGATATGAAGACTCGTATTACTGGCATATACAGAGTCATACTACACCATAATACGAAATGAAATGTTTTTGTTATATTCTAAATGAACTATAAACTATGTTAAAGTGCATTTCATTATTAAATCTACTGGGGGTCAACAAAAAATTGATCCAATTCACAGATCTTCGAGGTAGTGATTTTCAAACCCTAACACTTTCCTGAAAAAATGACGCATGTGTTAGTTTTAAGATTCTTTCACAAGCTCAAGCTGGTTCAATGTTTATGAATGTTTTCAGTTCATTTCAAATGTCAGATTGAATAATATTCCATATTGGACTCAGAGAATCCCTCGTTACAATATATACTTATATTTTTGAACTTTCTCAAGACAAGCTTATTATTGTTGTGTTTTCTAATACTTTTAAATCAGCATGGTCCACCTCACTAACACTTCATAAACAAATTTCATCTGTACATATGCATAAATTCTACTTATAATTACATAATCAACAGAAATGTTTTTGGAATTAATATTTTTTGGCAACAATTGGCATACATGAAAAGTACATAGAAGTTACCCAAATTCTCCAATCGGAAACACGACATGAGATTGGCATGTCAAAATTTGTATAAAAAATATAAAAAATTATATCTTGATTATTTATTAATATCGTTTGTTTTTCAGAAACATCGCCAACAATTTAATAACAGCGTTATCTTCTAATGCATTTCCTTTGATGAGAAAACTCGTGGTTCTGTAAGTACTTTCGAATTAATTGTATTGAAATTTTGCAAGTTATAAACCAAACATTTCTTAATTGTTATCATGAAATCGGTTATTGGTCATCGGTCATGCGTTTTTCATTGTCGAAAAACGCTCGTTTTACCAGTATTGGTGAAATGCTAACACTTTGCACTATCACATGTCACCGATCCTACAATGAAACCAAAAAACGTTATAGAAAATCCAGAACCATCAGATTCTGCTCCTGAATTAGACATTAGCAGCACAGAAACTATGCGTCATATCGGTGTACAACAAAATTTTTCGACCTTTACCAAAAGCGCGACCGCGGAAAACAAATACTGTCTACTGTTTTGACCGATACTTCTGTAAAGGAAGCTTCGCGAATGGAAAATGAAGAACAAATTTATAAAATACAGGAAAAATATGATGAAGATAATGGTAAAGAAAAAGTGAACGGAAGGGAGAAAGGGAAAGAAAAAGGTAAATCCACGAAATACAAAGAAAATAGAAAGTAGATGTGCCGAGTCGCTTTTTTGATGGATCGATTCGACTCGAGTCAGTTTATGCGGTATTCAAATCATGACTCGATTCCCTGATTCGAGTCCGGCTGGACTCAAGTCTAGAAATTCGAGTCCAGAATTCGAGTCTGAAAATTCTAGTCCAGAACTAGAGTCCAATTTTAGAACAAAAGGGAAAAATGAAAAGGAGATAACTTCAAACAGCGTGTAGGTTAGGTTAAGCAGCCCATCAAGTTACCACAAACTGTCAAATTTTCCCAAACGGAAAGCAACCTTATTATTTCGCTATAAAGTTCAAAATCAATTACAGAAATTTGACAGATTTGTATAGCTTGACGTGCTGGCGACTGCACATCGTACCGAGTTAGCGAGTACGAATCGATTCTTCCTGACTCGAGTACAGGAATCGAGTCCGGCATACTTGAATCAAAATAAATTGGTACTCGAGTTCTAAAGCAGGAATCGAGTCTGACTCAATTCAAACCGTACTCGGCACATCGCTAGTAGAAAGAGTTAAAAAATAGTTTTATATTCAGATTTTAATTCCAAATCTGAAGAGTGGTAATGTAGAGTTTGCAGTGAACCTTTTATTAATTCAAATGAAAACAATCGAGGTGAATGTATAGTTTGTAAGATGTGGGCGCATAGAAGACACTATTTCTTTTGTTTGTATCAACTGTAACTCAGATGGAGACTGAAACGAAAGAATTTTCCAAAGGTTAGTTATTAATTAGCATACTTAGTTACTGGATACAAGTGTGTTTTATGAGGTACCGTTTCACATAACAGTTGTGTTGCTAATCTGAAGAACATTCAAGTAATCGATTATAAAACGATAATTTTTATTGAGTAGAACTGGGCGATACTTGATGAGAATTCATATTAAAACACATGAATACAATCATACAATAAACTGTATTGATAAGTGATAATTTGTATGACTCCATAGACCTACCTAATGTAAATAAAAGCGGTGTCTTTGACAAACTACCAATGATATGGAATCAAGTGAACGCGAAGTGTTATACTTGAAGGGAATAATCATGCAAGAGGATATGATTGTATTTAATCAGAGTGACCTGATGAATTCTCTCAAAAAGCAAATTTTCCTTCTCAAAAATGTTCTGAATTGCAAAAAGTTTCCCGATAGCTTGTTAAACTTGTTAAAAATTATGTAATACCGAAAGAAATAATTGTTTTTGTTATCAATAAATGAGAAATAAACGATTAAAAGAATAATATTCTCGTTTTCATTATTGCAATTACTTACTCTAATAAATTTTACAACTATTTCCAAGCTCAGGGTAAGTTATAACAACCCGCATTTAAAAAATAAAAATTAATTGTGAAATGATTACCCATACTTTTAGAGAAATAGTTGAAGTATCATTCTATATTCAATTATTGATAACTTAATCTATAGATGGCAATATTTATCCATTTGAAGAAAAGAGAAGAGAAACTTTCTCTGTTTTTACAACTTTTATTTGTAACTAATGTTACTGCAATTTCATCCTATAAGTACATTTTCAAACTTATGCATGTATAAGTTTCTATTCTCTTTTCTTCATTATGATTTCCTACCACGTAGTAACGGCTACATCCATCAATTTATTTATCCATTAATCCAAAAATTGCCCCACACTCCCCCACAGGATTTCTGCCATACTTTGCGTGTTTGAAATTATTGTTGAAGATCAAGGAATATTTGGTGTAGTTGTGATAAATGTTTCAATTTAGTGACAATATATTGATACGAGATGTTTTTCAATATCAGCATATTATTAAGAAACACAAAATAAATGTGTATTTGGCAAATATCTAGTGGAACAATAAGGTCAATAAATATGGACAGAAAACTAAAGAATAAATAGTTAATCAATTTGCATTTGATTTTTATATGTATCAAATTATTTACTGACCTATTTTGGTAACATTCCCTTTGTTAAGACTGTCTGTCTTGTTCGTGCTGTTGCCAGTAAATATTTATCATTGAAGCCTATATCCAAACTGGAAATATATACCTCGTATGTTTCAAACTCATTAAATCAATGTCGCTGATAATAGTAATTTGAATTCCAATAGAAACCAATACACAAGTGAGATAGTTCAGAAGATCTCGAGCAACTATAATGAAGAGTAACATATGGTTTTGTTTCAAATTTGGTGGAAGTGATGAAAAATCTTGGCCACAAGGACTTGCAATTGTCATAAGTAAGTTTTTACTATAAGACTTGACTGGAAATGAATTAGACTTTTCCGAATGTTGATGAGAAATGGATAATTTTAGAATTTGAAAAGTTTCATTCAGTTCCGAAGATATTCAAAAATAACTAAAATTCTTACGTCATAAAAAAATTAAAAGACAAGAAACATTTTCACATTGCCCCTTTATAATCTGTACAAGATGATGATATTCACAGAGTTTTAATTCGATGTTTCGTCTCAACAAAAACATCACCACTTTCAATTTTTATATGGACTTCAAAAAATACAGCTAAAATAAGTTAGCTTCTTTGGCATCAATTTCACTGATATATCGCAATAATCGTTCAGTTGGTACATTTCAAAATGACATTTAATTTAACTCTAATCTGTTCCCAACATATGATCATTCTCAGTCCACCTAGAAAAATTAATTTATAATAATCAATCAGTTACTGACCCGTTTCTTCTTGACTTTGTTGTCTTCATGTAATAATAAGTCAATGCTGATATTTCCATGGTATGAATTGTTATGATTTACGAGTAACTTCGTCTGTCCTTCTTAAGGAAAATATTTTATAGCGAAATACGTGTCGCGGTTTTGTTAACCTTTCGTAGAGAAAACCATAATACACAATATTAATAAGCTTTGATATGGACTTCTATCAAAAATAGGTCAGTTCCATTCACTTTCAGTAATCTTCCATTGAAAATATCAGTTTTTGAAATCCTCACACTGCCAACTTCCTTGTAATTGCAAATAACTATTCTCCAATGACGATCAATAAGCAACGTATTCAAAAAACACATTAACTAGTTACTAACAAGTAGTTAGTAAAGCCACGCCCAAAAAAGCTATTGTATGGCGAAACACGTGTTGCGTTTTTGTAAGATTGCTTAGTGAAAATCTCACAATAAAGTATTTTCTCAGTACGTTAGCTATGGATTTTCATCAGGTATCGGCCAATTCCATCATAACGGGCAATAGGATTTACTGAAGTTTAATTGATTGATTCCGTCGTGAGACATTCATTTTCTTCATTGTCAATGACTCATAAACAAGCCTCCAATATAAATAAATCACTATTTCAAACTGAAATTCATCTCGTAATGAAACATCATCAGACATCTTTTCTCATTTGTCCTCGTAACCATGTTACGTCATTCAGTTGTACCGTTTTTTTTTCTTGAAACTAAACTTTGAAATGCAAACTGAGAACAAATTGGTTAAAACAAAAACTACGAATATCAACTCATTCACTATATTATGCTTCAATATCTTCATGTATTTCAAGGTAGTCTGGCAGCATTCAACTGCGGGCTGCAGCTATCCTGGTCATCACCATTCCTTTCCAAAATCAGCAAAGATCCGAGATATGGGATTTCAGAAGAAGAGGCTTCCTATTTCAGCGTTATCGAACCGGCAACTATGACGATCACTTGCACGTTGTTTTCTATTCTTAGTGACACCATCGGAAGAAAGAAAACTCTTTTGATAGTAGCCATTCCCCAACTCTTGTCGTGGATTCTAATTGCTACTGCAGAAAGTGTTTATCTGTTCTACGCTTCTAGAATGTTCGCTGGAATAGCAGACGGAGGAATGTTCATTACTCTCCCTGTGTATATCGGGGAAGTATCCAGTCCGAAAGTGAGAGGGACTTGGGGCAACAGCTTGTTAATGGGGCTACTATTAGGAGAGTTCTCCATTATCTTGATGGGAAAATACATGGGAGTTCAGGAAACCGCATTCGTTGGCATAGTTCTGGTATTGGTTTTTCTCATACTATTTTCTCTAATGCCGGAGTCTCCTTACTTATGTTTAATGAGAAAAAGAGATGATGATGCAAAGCAAGCTCTTTGCTTTCTCAAATGTAAACGAGATGTTGAAACGGACTTTTCATCTCTCAAGTCAGATGTTCAACGACAGATGGAAGAACAAGGGGCCTGGAAAAACCTCTTCATGATAGCCAGTAACAGAAAAGCGTTAATAGCGGGGATATTTTTGAGAGTCTCTCAACCACTAGGAGGAACATTGACATTTGTCATGAATCCTGAATTCATATTCGAAAAGGCAGGCGTAAATGTCAATTCAAGTTTAGCTTCCGTGATATTCCTGGCCATAAGTTGTTTTGTGAACTTTCTAGTTGTTTTATTTTCAATCGAAAAATTCTCGAGGAAAACGATATACACTATATCTTCTTTGTTTTCGGGGATTGTGTTGGTGTTGTTAGCGATATATTTTTTCATTACTGAATACATCAAAGAGTGGAATATATCTTTACCTTGGATTCCTATTGCTGGTTTGGCAATTTACGAAGTGGTGTGTTCTTTAGGAATGATGGTAATACCAACTCTGATGCTCGGTGAACTATTCTCCGCCAGTATCAAGTCAAAAGGTATGACAGTTCTGATCGTAGCGTTCGGTCTGGGGGTTTTTCTGGCTAATTATATATTATTTGCATTGACTCGGCTGGTTGGAATATTTGGTCCATTCTTATTTTATGGTACTTGTTGTATATTCACTTCTGTTTTTTCTTTTCAACTCATACCTGAAACAAAGGGAAAAACCCTAGAAGAAATACAGCAATCTCTGAAAGGAAAGACGATACAAAAATAAAAATTTCAAATCTGCGGGTGTTTAGGAATGGTTGGGAATATTTACGATTTCATTTTTTGAAACTTTAATTGCTCACTCCTGGTGTTGTTATTGAATTGAAGATACATTATTTGCTTTTCTCACAATGAGATGGATTCTAATGTAACGGATATAATAGAGAATTTTAAAGCAATCTTGGGGCCACTTCTTGAAGCGAATCAACTTCCTTAAACCATTACATCCACATTATTTTTGTCCTATATACAGCATGACGAGTATACTTTTGTTATGTAATTATTTATGATATTCTCTGGGGTATCATATTTTTGTATAAGCGTTTCATTTTCTGCCTTAGTGAATGTCATTACTGTGAAAATAAATAATCATTGTTTCAATATTTTATGAGTTTCATTTCTAACTTTCGCATCAGCTTTCATTTGATAACCCGATGTTTAAATACATTTGTTTGATCTTCATCAGTTGACAATCGTAGCGGAATTCCGCTACTGTAGCGGAATTTACTCTATGGTAGCGGCGTAGCGGATTTGAACATAAAGTAGCGGAATTCTCTATAAATAATCAATATTGAAGAAAATATGGAAGAAATGGAGGCAATGGACAGCAGTCGAAGCTGACAGCTAATACGATAGCTAATACGTTATAGTCTTAGTAGATGAGGCCATTACATGATGAAAGAGAAGAAGAATATTTCTGGATATTTTCATTCATACCATAAACCATATAACCTCTAATATTTTGAAACTAAAAGACGTGATTGTCTCGAGTATTATGAATTATATCAAACAAATTACAGTGGAAATTAATGAGAGTTCATCTGATTTTAACTCGAGTGAAAGAGCTACCGCAGTAGAAATTAATGGGAATGGGACATGTTCAAAAAAATACAAAAAGTCTCGAAAAAAAACTTTTTCTCAACATTGGTTGTCTGATTCCAACTTGAATGGATGGATTAAACCTGTCGCGAATGATCGTTTAAGAGTTCAGTGTGACTATGTACGTGGACAAATTGATTTTTATTTTTACCTTTCAATATCATTATTTCAAACTAAGAAATATTTGGTCGAGATGACAGCTTTCAAAAATTAACTGCTGTAAATTTAAAAAATTAGGTACCATCTACTGAGTTGTGCGGTTGAAAATTAGTTTTTGATTACTGACATTAGTGACAGTTCAGTTTTGTGGTATCTGAACGGCACACAAACTACAAACTGTAAGTTCTGTAAGTAGAAATAAATAAAAAGGATATTTGGAAATCCTTCATTAACAGATACAGTATCAAAATGAGTGAAAGCAAGATAATCAAAATCAGATTATTACACAATATCGTATTCAAATTTGTATCATAACCCACAATTAGGCCATCAGTCAGATGTAGGTATTACATGATGTGAAGCCACGAAACACGGTTGCCAAGTTTAGAGTAAAATATGGAAGCTCTAAGAGAAGAAATTCTGAAAAGTAAAAAGGAATTGCAACAGAGGATACAAGCGAGAAAGACTGGAGAGAGACCATAAAAGAAACAAGATAGTAATTTTTGGAACACAAACTGAAGAAAATGAAATCTCAATGAAGAGACTCTGTGAAAACCTGAATATTCTATTGGGTACAAATATCAGTGATCGCATTTTCAATAGTATTTATGAAATAGGAAAATCAGATAAAACTCCTATTAAAGTAGAATTCACTTCACAGTTAACAAAACTAAACATTCTACAAAATTGTAAGAAACTGAAGGGCACCAAAATAAGTATAGTTCATGATTTGACAAAAAAACAACAGAAAATAAATGAAATTATAACAGGACATTTGAAAAATATCAGGAAGTCAACCGAAGACCGCTGTTACATCAAGAGTGAAAAACTATATAGAAACAACGAAATATGTACAGTTAAAGATCTACTGGAAATAAAAGAAAGAAAATAGCAAAGCTTTCTCATAAGACCATCGAGTGGACCCCAAATACCCATAAACTGAATCCAGAATTTTTTGAAGATACACGAGAACCAATACAAAAAATTAACCAAAAAGGAAATAACAAGAAAGAAGAACAAAAACAACATATAATTGATGGAGAGAAGAAGAGAGAAGAGGAAACAGGAAACAATAGAAATAAAGACAAAAATTCGTCAATTCTACATCAACCTAGACATAGGAAGCAATCCCTAAGATCGTAAAATAGAGTAAGAATACATATTGATAGAAAAGAATAACAAAAATGGATTCATTTATAAAAAATTACGAAAACTATGTTATACCAGGTAAACTTTTCGATAGCATACACATTTTTAACGATAACAGTATAGAAAATAATGAATGTAAACTTAAGATCCTTCGTCTGAACATTCGTAGTGTTAGTAGAAACTATGATGAATTCCTTATCTTCTTGAACCAATTCTCAAGGCAATTTGAAATTATAATACTTACGGAAACGTTTATTACTACTAATAGCAATTTACAAATCTCCTGGTACAGACAAAAATATGTTCAATACAGAACTCTACAACTATTTAGAGATGAGAGAAAGGAATAAACTTCACAATGTTGTAGGGGACATTAGTATGGACTTACTTAAGCACGATAACAACGACATAGAAGACTATAAAAACATACTGAACTCCTTCAATGTTATCTCCTACATAAATAGAGTAACAAGACCAAGCATTGGAAGTTGTCTAGACCACATCTTCGTTGAAGATTTCAATGATGGGGATAAAATAAAGTCATATGTTTTCAACTATGATATAACATATCACTTTCCTGTTTCCTTGGAATACACTTACCAAACAAAAATAATAAACTCAAAAATGAACAATGGATAGATGAATAAATATATAACACAAAAACCATAAAAATTAAAACTAATACAATCAGGAAAGCCTGGATATCACAAGAAATAATAATACTTACAAATGAAAGGAATAAAATTTATAGACAATTACGGGAAAATCACGATAACGTCATTGTTTGTAGTTGAGGCAACGGAATACCAAAAATATTAGATTTTTTCTGTGATATTCAATTCTCAGCTTATGCAAACATTTTCAAATAGTAAAAATATACATATTCTTATTAAAATGGTTACGACCAAACGAGACCTAATAGAAATCAATTTCCAAAAGCTTCTCTCTGTTTTATTCATTTCCCGCTTTCGAAGAGCTTACGACATTCTCATACCGCGGAGATTGATATCGATATATAGTTTCGAAAAATAAATAGATTCAAGTTAGCCACGCTTGTCACGCACACGATCCTCATTTGTTATTAGCGTTGTCAGGCGTATTTCAGTGGATTTTTTCAGCGGACGTGAGTTTCGTTTGATCTCCGCGCTTGCTGATATTTATTGTCAGCGTAAGCTTTGATGTTGAATGTGTGTTTTGGGAGATTTGGACTTTCAGGAAAGTTGCTTTCGCGTTTGAAGATGTTCTTGGTTGATCATTTGGAGTAGCTTTCACGGGATTTCACATAATGTGTTGACTCGAACGGAAAGATCAGTAATCTTTTGAAATATTTCAGGTACAAGGATGGCGCCAGTTATATTTTGAGTCATGCCATATTGTGATAATTTTTATTTGTAATTCAAATGACCTAGAATCTGAAAGTGAACGACCATTGACAACGCGTGTGTACGCTGAATGGATTCTGGAGCAGTTGACAACAGACCCATAGAAAAATCGTCTTTAGCATTTCTGGATGAATGGGTACGTGAACGAACAAAATTGTCAAATTTGGAACGATACCAATCCACATGAGATCCAAGAGCGACCAATGCATCCCGAAAACATCACTGTTTGGTGCGGATATTGGGCATGCGGCGTCATCGGATTATATTCCTTCGTGAACGACGTTGGCTACATCACTGTCAATGGCGAGCACTATAGGTTGATAATTACCAACTTCTTTTGGTCTGAATTGGATGATCTGGACACCAACGACATGTGGTTTTGAAAGGACAGCGCTACGTGCCACACAGCTCATGCCACACGGGATATTCTGCACGAGTGATTTGAGGGCATATTCATCTCACGTGGAGGTGATGTGATCTGGCCACCGAGATCAAACGATTTGACTCCCTTTGAGTTTTTCTTGTGGGGTTTTATCGAGTCGATGGTGTATGCGAATGAGTCACAAACCACAGCGGTCCTCAAAACCAACACAACCTTTGCCATCGGTCAAATTCAGCCTGATACGGAGTAATGAAAAATTGAACGTTTCGGATGCGCTCCACCCAGAGAAGCCGTGGCGGACATTTGAACGATGTTATATGCCACACATAATGGTATCAATAGGTCATTCAAATAAATAACAAAATTTGATATCTCACACAAACTTTGTTTCGATCAGGTACAACTGAAATTGTACCTGATTGGTTCGACTCTCCTTCAATCATTGAGAGAATCTTTGTGTTATGAAGCGCCAGTATCCATGTCTCATTGATGTTCAAGCTCTCTTCCTAACGGTTGAACTTGTTCTTATGTTTATGTATTTCCATGGCCTCATGATTGGTTGCATCAAGAACTTGCGTGCGTTCGAAAGCAATGTCATGGCTGTTCTGCAACTGATAGAGCTATTTGAAATGAATGAATTTGAGTTGAAAAAATAGTTCGTAGTTGACAGTTGGAGGCATAAAGTCAGGGGTCATTTCCAGAATGCTGTGACTTCCAGTGTCAACTAACAGTCTGTTGCACTCTGCATTGAATTGATTTGTGCAATTGGCAATGTACACAAGTCTATATGCAGTCCATCTAGCCTCCCTCTCTAGAAAAATGTGGAGAGGAGGTAGATCTAAATGGATCTCCATAGCCGCTGACTGCGTGATACTGATGGCACCACTGATGGCCAGACAAGCCTGTCTCTGTAAGCCAGAGAGCTTCGCCTAAGCCGTTTTCTGTAAAGCCTTTGGTCACCAGACAATTGCACCATAAATGATCATTGGTCTGACAATCATCACCTGAATTAAATGGATTTGGTTGGGTTCTCAACTCCAAGTTTTACCACAAATCCTTCGACATGTCCATAGGTACATGTGGCTTTGTGTAAAACTTTTTCCAAGTGACCCTGTCAGGTGAGTTTTTTATCAAGGACAATGCCAAGATATTTCACCTCCGTTTCAGATGGAATGAACTCACCGTTAGATCGTCCAATTTTCTCCTCCTGGTGAAAGGGATCATCACAGTTTTGTTAGGGTTGACAGACATCTGCTATCTCAGGCACCAACGTCCATCGTGCTTTGAAGGATATTACCAGATACCCTTCACAACTTGGACCTTGCCAAAATGACAAGGTCATCTGCATAAGCCGGCTTCGCCTTGAAGAGTCGAGGTTGCAGTTCTGTTTACCAGTATGGCATAGATCCAACCAGTTATAGTCAATTCTATAC